TTGAAAATAATAAAGTGTTTAAAACTATTCTAACAAGAAAGCAAAGTGTCCTCAGTCTCAATGTTACATATGAACTTTGCACATTGTTGTTATATTTTGCAGTGCGCTCTCTTATGTAAACATGTTTGCGTGATACTTGATGAGTTGTGTTTTTCATTTGATATTTTATGCTTGGAAAAAAAATCGCAAATACGAGGAAATAGAAAGTTTTTCCAAGCTGAAATGAAAAGTTCTAGTAAAATGATTTTATTCGACTGAAAGCCACTGCTCTAACCCATCCATATATATATATATATATATATATATATATATATATAGGGGAAATTCTCAAGTTTCATCACATAGTTAAAGCGGGAGGGTCGTCACATGCGCACGCGCGGGAATTGAGTCCCAAACGACGATAACAACACTCCCCGCTTTAACAATAAAAACCTAACAATGTTATGTATGTTGTGATGCATTATACTAAATATATTGTTTTCACCAGGAGCATGCACCTCAATGTATAAAATACAGTATTGCCATGTGTAATGCTAGATTAATAGGAGTAACACTGCATCTCAAAAATGGCCAAAAGTTCACCAAACTTACATTGCATGACCTATGATTATAAACAAATCGCTTTTTATCTCAGCTATGCACTCTATATTTAGAACTAATAATAACAGTGATCTTTTTTAATTAGTGTTTTACTATTTATGTTATCAGTATTAATTCTTTCTTCAATGATCACACGGTAGTAGTCACTGTGCCACAACCATGATCGGTTGGTCCGACCCGGGGTTGAACGCAAAAAAATGGTTTAGCCATACTATGAATAAGTGTGCGGAATATTCAACATGGAGGCTAGGGGTAATGGCCAAGAATCATTCAGAAACTGTTAAGAAAGCACTTGATGGCAATTGAGAAATTGATAATACATTCAACTTATACTACGCTGTCAAAAAACATTTCTCCGTACAATACAATATTTATTTGTATTCGTAATCTGATTGGTATTCTTACTTGTAGACGTTTCTACACATGCTGCAACAGCGTTCCTCCCTACAACAAGTATTTCAACCACGCTTGACCCAGGTATGGAATACGGGATTTATTTATTGAGTGTTATGATTTATTCGTAGATTTAGTGATACAATATTTGTTTCAATCCATGATTCATTGAGTTATAGAAAGATTTACATATTGGTTTTTATGTTCAGATCGTCGGTATATTGATATAGAATGCATTCGTTACTACGTGTACAACAACACACAGACATGGGAAAGTTCTGAACAATTATGTGAAAACGTCGGTGCTGAGCTGGCTTCTTTGTATACGAGTACAGTCAGCGACAGTGTCATACAATTCATCATAGACAGTAATATGGATGGTGGAACAATCAACTATTGGATTGGATTGAATGACATTTCAGAAGAGGGAAGTTTTGAATGGCTCAATGGAGATCCATTTGGATACACAGACTGGGCGCCTCGTAATCCAGATAATTGGAGAAATCAAGACTGTGGGCAATTGTGGTTAGTAGAATGCCCCTTATATGTAAATTTATTTTGTTTTTTTGTAATAGGTGACTGTCTGACTATGTAGGCAATTGTGGTTAGTAGAAGTGGTATCAAATGACGATGGCAATAAACCAGTCGTAAAGAGAAATGGCTGCCGAGATCTCGTTGAAAGCGGGAACACCGCGAGAATTTTTGCCTCCCAAATAGTATACTATACTCTCCAACCATCGCGTCCACTGATATTAGTTGGTGAACCTGAATTGTGTGATTAGGGAATACTAATTTATAATGTGAGCAAATGTAATATCCGAAATTTCCCGTTGTTTTCTGCTTCACTAATAATCTAATAATTTGATCCACACCTTGCAATATCTTCCTACACATCGTATGACATTTGACATTCCAAAATATGTGTCCATATGCCACAACAAGTGCGCGTTCGGACGTACACGCACTGTTCTCTTCGTCGCTACAACAGGTATTTTTTTTTGTGGTCAGATTAATGTGTTTTATGTTGGTGCATATATGACGTGAAGAGCGGCTAATACCGAGGTTAACGTGTGGTACTCCTGACATTAATATTGAAATGTGTATTCGTGGTCCGCTCTATACAAATATCAGCACAACTGTTCGGTATCAAGCGGCAAATAACTTCCACAATTTTCATTAAATTTATAAATGATTTACACACATTTAAGGGGTTACGATAAATGTCAATTAATAAAGACAATTTGTTTAACGTAGCCATAGTGATAACTATATTATTTGCATTCTTCTTTTCAACCCATTAGGACTCATCGGAATTTTCAATGGGATGATGACTTTTGCTCCAATCATAATGGATACATATGCCAAAGGTAAGGAAATGCACATTTGGTAATATTGTTAAGACTAATTACAATTGCTTATGCATTCACTCTAAAATTTACCTTGTGCTCGGTAGATCATTATGTTCACCAAACGTTGTTATGTTATTAAAATCTAACTATTAACAAGCAAATCAACTTTTAAACTGTACCAAACTCAACTTGTTTATGAATTAGTATTTTACTTGGACGTGCAGACATTAAAAATAGCCCCAGACAGTTTACATAGTGATCATACACGGAACTATCAGAACATCCCATGTTTTTATGACGTTGTACAGCAGTGATTAACTAATTTAACGTATAACCATGGTGCTTACCATTTACACTAGTGTCGAACACCGTCACTAGTTTGCGTGTGCTCGAACAGTATACAATGTAAACCAAATTATGCGACGTTAGTTTTTTATCACTGCAATATGATTTTTGAAACTGACAATAACTCGTATTAATGACAACTGAAAGTTAATTTTGTAATGTTTTCTGAAATAAACAGAAATTGTCTGATTTGAATAATTATTTTCAACAGTTCAGTCATCAATTTAATTCGTTGTTCCATAATCTAGTCAAGTGTTATTTATAGTAAACTGTTCAGAGACAGTTCTCATACGAATTGATACTTGTTTATATCCATAATAATTAGTACATTGTCTATTAAAAGTAAGTCTAGCGAATAGTTTATGTTTACAATTAACTGCAACATAGTGAAAGTGAAAAGATTAGTGAAGAAGTGCCTACATTGGAGCATCCATTCTCAAAACACGTCTTTTAGTGATGCAGCAAAGTCATTTCCAGTGTATATCAATTATATGTTTGTCTCATATCTATATGTTCTTAAAAATAATCGAATCTGATTTTGTTTTCATCTTCAACGTTTTTTTTTACTTTACAGAAATATATGTATTGATGACTAGTTACAACTAATTGGTTATGAGTACCATATAACAATAGGAAGAATAATTATAACCATATGGTTACACGTAACGCACTATTACGCTACAATTATTGGGTTACGCGTATCATGGGGAATTATGGGAAGAAAAATCGTAACCTTGAAGATACTTGTGCCATAAAATAATGAAGACAACAGTTATAACCATTAGGTTACAAGTATTATATAATTGCAGGGAAACACCCACAATTATAACTGCTAGGATGCACATAATAGCTTTACAGAATACAAATGTTGAAACATTACAACACATATCTTAGAAATGCGAGAAGAAAAGTTAGAATATTTAGGACGCATATCATAGTGTTATGTGATTTTTTATAATCGTTAAGATGTAGATCAGATAAAACAAAGGAAGAATAACTTATAACCATAATTTTTTATTAACTTAATGAAAAAAGATCACTTTATGTGAGGGTATACCAGCGCATTTGTTTAAAATCCGTTATAGAATAAAGAATACCTGAATTAGATACACTGATATTGCCGAGTTTGTGTAATATTATCTTGAAGGTTGTTGTACAGTCTTAATTGTAAGTTTGAAATATACACATATCCTGCTATCAGGCATTTACCTTATAAGGACTTGTTGATGTATTGTTATTTAAATGTGATATATTTTGAATGTTGAACTCGTGTATTTTACTCACAGACAATGCAAATCTGTTTAGTGTGGCATATTTACTCCCCATATTCTGTGTTTTTATATTTACCTTTGTGTGTAGCAAAACTTCTAGAAGGGATTAACCTAATCTTCTATCGTTTAAATTTATGGAGATACTCATGCAGTTTATTTTTTCGAATGTTTTAATGTAGAGAGTTCAGATAATATTTGTGTGGTGTGTATAGCGATAAAGCAGTTTATAACAGACTCATTTCTTAACACATATCATGATAATAACTAATGAACCATGGGTGGCGAATTTTGATAATTCCTTGGACCACAATGTGTGAATGATTGTTAAAGTGTATGGTAAGAGTAATTCGAGCAAAAGCGGATCATGACGGCCCAGAACACCATTGTTTTGTCTTTTTTTAATACAGGACATCAACACCGTCACTGATTTTCTACCCGTTCTGTCAATCTCTTGCCGAGAGAGTCTTGAATGAGTTATTTACTCAAACGATTATGAAAGATTATTCATAAAATTGCTGACGTCATGCCAACCCTTCTCACAAACAGTTTTTGACTTATGTTATAATTTTCTGTCTGAAACCGAACATTTTATAAACAAAATCGTCATGAGATTATCGAATATAAGACAATAAATAATTATTTAAAACATTTTTTGTTGTAATTGAAAATTCATTTTCACAATTATTGCTTCATAACAACACAATCCATGGAATCTAAAATCTAATTTATTTTTCTTTTGACAATTTTATGAGAATATATTCTTAACGTTTCATTAAATGTTGACCACTTGTGGGCGGGTCAACGTCTGTTTGATATGTCATTAGTTTCTATAGTTAAGTTTTCTAGAAAAATCTAATAAATTATCAAATATCAGGGGTAATCGATCTTGCAAATATCATTGAAATATGTTCATAAAGTCTTTGAGTTATTCTGTTAACAACGGTACAAAACAAATCGCAAAACTTCTTTGGACGAACGCAAACACGAGATAGTTGTTCTTCAAACATCCATGCGAGCAGAAATATGAATATGTAATATCTATCTAAAATATTTTTGTGAAAAATCAGCATTAATTATATTTATTCATTGATATTAATATCATTAACAATGATGATATTATAATATCGAAGCTCAAAGACACTAAGTAAATGTGTCGCATTTTGGTGCCTGACAATAACATGTTTGTATCGATCCTCAATTTAAAGTTGTTAATTGATGTCTGAAATTATATTTAGAATGCATGTATAACAACAATATTATATTCAGACTATATATAAGTGTGTATATTGTAGGTAAATTATATACATAATAGTTTTGCTGTATTTTGAGTGGTGTGCAGAAAACAACATTAATTGGTATTTAGTGGGTCTTTTAAATATGAATGTGCGATATGAAAAAATAGAACTTCAAACTGAATTATGCCTTTAGACGTGTTTTATCACAATCAACAAGATATAATAGTAATATTCATGGCACACTTTACATTAAAATATATATGGATATAATAATCAAAAATCAACAGTGATTGACATTTTAAATGTGATAATACTCATTAAAACGGTGCAGACTGAGTTCAGACCTAAATTTCGTTTCAAAAAGGAATACAGATTTGATGAGCCCTACATATTTAAAGTTTATTATTGCTGAAAGACTGATGCAGAACTAGATTTTAGCTGTTAATATAGCCATGTATTTTTAAGTTAAGTTTTAATCAGTTTGCATTACACCGTTCTCGAATCCCTTGGAAGTCATAATTAGTATGGGTGAGGTTTATAATATTGTTGTTAGACATTTGAGTGAGCGAGAATAAGCTAGTGTCGTTGAAGTTCAAAAGCATTGGTGGGGTTATCATTTATATTTAAAATTGGTCTTAGAATCGATTCCCGTTAAACAAGTTATCAGTTAGGGCGGGCGGTTTTTTTAAACAAAAGAAATGGAAGGCCTCTAATGCCATAGTGTCGTAGTTTGTGAGAAAGTATGTCATGATCATTTTGTCAATAAATATACCAAAACATGATGAGGCCAGTTTCCATTTTGTCTTATACTTGGTCAGCAGTCGACACGGATTTAAAATGAGCAGAAATTTTCATATGAAGTTGGGCCATTTGAATCATGACTCGACCGTATTTATATAACATATTTTAATTGTATATTTTTATTTATATTGTATGAAATGTATATATTATGAGGTTATTACAAGGATACTGCAAAATATGCACGAAGACAATACAGCGGAGTATCGGCCGACGCGCAGCCATAAGTTACAGCGTGCCGTAACTTCACGGTATTTTACGGGATATTTTCATCTTACCATATTGCGAATAAATGCGAATTCCAAATGTGGAATGATTACGCGCGTAGGCGTCCTCTAGTAATAAAACCAAACTTGGCTGCCACCAGGGTTTGACCGGACCAACACAAAGAAACTCGCTGATTCCGTTCTAAAATTTTTGGATTTCATAATAACCTCAAAACTGCTTCGGGCAATAGCACGTGTTATCCCCGATACTAGCCGTAAATGAGCGTTTTAACGTATGTGCAACTGCGTCCACAAGTAAATCAATGAAAAGTAGTGATCGAGACCTGTGAAAGCGGCACAAAGCATAGAGCACTTGCGTCAAGGTGCATACTCGTTATTGTTGTGCAATGTAAGTCTACTTGATGTTGGAGACACTGTCGTATATTAAAAACGAATCGCTTTGTCGAATTATTTGAATAAAACATGTGACTAGCGAAAGTTAATTTGAATCTGTAGTGCTGAATTTGAGAACAATTATCAATATACACATAACTAGAATACCTACATTAAAGAAACAAATTACTCGAAATTGCTGCTAGTTGTAATTTGCTTCATTTTCAGCTTTGATTCTTTGCCGAAAATATGTAAAATATTGGGAGTTGGGTGCATCAGTAATAATCACGTGCGTTACTAAAGATGGATCAACATCGACAAATTACGTGACATTCGAATTTTCGCTCCTTATGCCGCTATCAAAATAGAACACGGGGCCAAACAATTGTGCGCGGTTGGAATCGAATCTGTCAAGATATTGTCCAGCTCAAAACAGTAGGGTACCGAGGAAGTCCAAGTATCTCACGTTATAATGTTTTCAGTTCGATGCAAACTTATTTCTGCACTTATAGGACTTTGGGCATTCTGATTATTGCATTATAAATGCGACTATATACTGTAGAACACGTTGAAATAGCTGCATACAATTTTAGCGGATTTGACTCATGGCATGAATTACCAGAATTTTAATTTAGCTAAAGTGTCGACTATCTCATTGTGAGAATTTACTTTATGTTAAATTAGCTGCATCTTGAATTAGCGAAATTACAGATTAGCTAAATTAGCTAAAATAACATGCTAGCTAAAAAGACATTATTTACAGTATATACTAAATATTTTTATTTATGTTTTTCAGGATCTCGTTGCGAGACCGATATTGACGAATGTGCCAGCAGTCCATGTCATAATGGTGGTACATGTATTGACCAAGTAAACCGTTATGAATGTAGATGAGCCGACGGGTATTCAGGTATAGGTTGCTATTAAACACAAATTAACGCCACTCATGATTTTAAGTGTGTTGCTAAACGGGTGTATATCCTTAAAGCGGGAGGGTCGTCACCTGCGCATGCGCGGGAATTGAATCCCAATCGACGATAACAACACACACTAAAACGCAAAGGCTCATGGTTAGATGCTTGTTTGTAAACAATGACACGTTATGGCCATTTGACGCATGCGTTTTAATCAGATTATATGAACTATATTATGTCGTGTTACACATGTTACAATTTGCCATGTCAATACGACATACAGTAATGTATATGCCTTAGTTCTAATTTAATAATTAGTGTTATACAAAAACATTAACAACTTTCTCTTTTCGACATTGTGAAATTCTTTCGTTTTTATGGAAGAAAATGCAGGTTTTTACCGAGTAAAACCATATTTATTAAATTTATTGTTCGTACATAAGTCAGCTGCTTTCAGTCATAATCCAAGACAAGGGAAATGCAAAAATATTAAAAATGTAACAAATTATGTTTTGTCTTTAATATTCACATGTAATCGGTAACTATGACAACTATTATTGGTGTGCATATGGAATACATTTCGTTAATGAAATATTTTTAATATAATTCCGAATTCACATCAAAGATTACAATGACGAAAACGAAAAGTTGTTATCGTAGTTTTATTTGCATTAACAGTAAACTCAATTTATCATGATGTCCTGGACGAAAAAAGTGATTGATTTTATATAATTGAGTTCGATCTAAACTGATGCTCATTTTACTTTAAACAATCCAGTACCAAAAACATGTTGTAATGGAAAAATCTCTCGTTTGTAGAAAGCACAGCGAACATTTTTTTTTTAATATTCTTGATTTTCAAAAAGTCATTTTCATAAAAATCATATAACATTGACAATTGTTTCACTGAAATTGATGTAGGTGTGTCTTTGCATTTTGAAGTGTTCCACGGCCAGTCTTTATATTGAATATATTCATTTTTATTACATTCATGTACATTTGTATATAGTGTTCAAACATTGAACATATTATTATTATACATTAATATACATTAATATATGTGATATGATATAATCTTATTAATCATATTTACCAGGATCCCAATATATGACAGACATTAACAAGTGTTCTAGTAACCCATGCGTGAATGCTTCGATCAAGTGAACCCTTACCAGTGTGATTGTCTTGACGGATATGCAGGTAGTCCGGTAAAAAAAATAGTAGCGTATCTATTATTATACTATTGAATAAAGCTGGTCCTTTTTGATCTGATAAACTATCCCATGACGACTCTCGGCTTAACCAGGTCTACAAGCAGGTAATATCAGGTGAATATTCTGTCACAAGAAGGTAGCACCCAGCCAAGAATTCAGCTAGAC